TGCCATCCGCCCCGCTCGGCGAGCAGGAAATAACAAGCAAACCGCAGAGGAGACGGGAAATGATTTAGGTAAAATCGGAGCCGTATTCTCAGACGAGGCTGTGAAATGTTTGCGACCAGGGCTGTCCAGTTCCCCAGGGCTGCGAGGGGAGCCCAGCCCACCAGCCACTGCTCAGGACCTGCAGCAAAGGTCTCTCAACTCTGAAAGCAGCCACTAATTTTGGGTGCTTTGCTGGGCACCGCACAAGCCTGTTAGCTGCTCGGTGTTGGGATTTTTTAGGCAGCCAAAGAGCCCCCAAAACCCAGGGCATGTTTGCAAATGTCACCGTGAGATTGGCATTGTGGAGATATGCCCAGCCCCAAGCCCTCCACCCCGGTACATCTCCTGCCCTTGGGCTTTCTCAGGCTCTACCCTAGCCCTTAGGCAGCAGGAACGTTTTTGGGGTGACAATATGAGGATGAGAGATTTCAGTAGGAGAGGAAAGCAGCCCCAGACAGGAGTGGGGGTGCTGGTTTGCCGGCCCCCAACACGTCCCCGTCATTGCAGAGCTGCACAGCCACCCCTTCGCCCTCCTATTCCCTGCTCCGCTCCTCCCTCGGCATCATTTGCTACACCTCACATCTCTTGTCTTGCATATGTAAAACAGGGCTCATCAAGCCTGACCTTTTATGGGTGTTTTGAAGGTAAGGCGCAATGGGGAAAAACCCCCGAGGATCTGTCAGCGCCTTTTCAGCTATTTTTTACCAAAAGGGAAGATTTGCGATGCTGGTGGGTTTTTTTCTGTGCTGCATTAAAACTGGTCCAAGACCTGTCAAATGTGTCCTCCTGGGCACCCAGCACGTCACACAGAGGCCACAGCTTACGGGTCTCAGCCTAAAGGCAACGTGGGTTTCCCAGAGAAGACAAAATCCTGATCACTCGCTCTGCTGAGCTGTGATCCGCTCTGTTCAGCAAGGCTTTTCTGGGCTAAAATTAGACTAAAATCACAGTCCATGCTCCAGCAACACCAGTCCTTTAGTGGCTGCATTAGGGAAACACTGGGTGCTGGTTTCGCTGCCTTGGCAGGACAGTAGCTCTGGCTGGGCGTCGTAGCCTTGCTGCTAACGGCTTGGCCATTGCCTGGCAATTGCCTTCCACATGTGGGCTTGGAGCAGAAGCTGTCACATCACCTTCTGCTCATGTTTCCAGCAGCCGTCTCCCATCCTAGCCCCATACCTTTATATGGGACTAGAGCTCAGTGCCTCAGATCACTTGCCAGCTTCCTAAAACTGAGCAGTATTCCAGACCTGCATCTCCTGTCTGCCAGTCCAGTCCGGTGTGCCTAAATCTCTTGGATCTCAATCTCTTCTCAAGAAATCCCTAGACCAGAGAGGCTGCACCGACCCAATGAAGGAAGCTCTGAGCACGCCGCTGTCACGCACCAGCTCCTGCAGCGCTGCACAGCTGCCGGGCTTGGGGTGATGAAACCAGCCACGCTCCTGTTGACATTTCCTTTCCAGGTGTTGCAAGAGATCTGTCTTAGACGCCTCCCCAGGGAACATCGGCCCACAGACTTCAAGCTCAGGATTAAATAGAGACGGAGGAGGGGAAGGAACCATGTTCCAGGCCACGGGACCCGCCAGCCCACCCCCAACTCATGTACGTAGCATCCCCTGTGGTTTGTATGGGAATTTCAAACTGGGTTTTGGTTCTCAGGGATGGAGGGTTGTGTACAGAAACTATATTCTGCACCTGACATTTTAGGGTGATCCAAGGCACCGTCACTGCTACTCAAACAACAAAATTGGGGGCAGGAATGTTCCAGCAGAAGGTGCTGTTTGCTGAGCACATTGCAACGCCGGTGTCCAGGCTCTGGTCCGTACAGAGCTGCTCACCCTGCTTTCGTCTCGAGTTGCTGTCTGTTTGTTTGTGTTTCCATGGCTTTCTGTGATCACAATTGAGAGCATGCGAGTTGCTTAGGATTGGAGATGGAAAAACATAAAGGCTCAAGAACATCTCCTGCTGGGACAGGATATGGCCCTTCCCCGAGGGAGGATATATCAGATATGAAATAGATAGTGTGCCTGATCGGAGCCAGAAGGCTGCCGAGAAGTGATGAGCAACAGTGGATTGCCTGTAGCCTTGGGAACGGATATATTCCAGCTCCAAAGAGGCAACATTTTCCTTAGCTCTGGTCAGCTGAGCCTGGAAATAGTATATTAAATCCTAACCCCAGGAGAGCACCTGCGGTTGTTTTACCAGTACCGAGGGATGCAACTGGTTTTACACGGCCCGAGTCTCCTCACTGCCCATGTCCCGCTGTTGACTTTGGCTTACTCTTCCAGCCTTGTGGGAGTGAGAAGAAAATCACGTCCCTGACCTCAGTCAATGAGAGCAGCTGGGAAACGTCTGAAGAGGCAGCTCAGCAAAGTGAGAGTTTCCTGTGCGTCTCTTAGACAAACTTTCCAAAAATACAAAGGCGAAACGATGGGGAAGGACAAAGCAGGAGGAATGGGGATGGAAGCTCAGCCTGAGGGCAGAGCCAAACGAGCAGCAAGAGGAAGGACAAGGAGGCAGTGGGGTGATGTTCTGGGGCTGCACTGCCCCAGCCTTGGGAACAAACAGTGCAGAGGGTGAGCCAGTCTGTTGTAAAGCGGTCGTGGCTGGTCCACCTTGCTGAAAATGTGTTCACCCCTTTGATCCTGACTGTTTGAAAGAAGGGAGCATTGTAATCAGTGCAAAAGCAGGCTAAAATACTTGCAGGTGGCTGACGGGGACCCAGTGGGTCCCTGCACAAACAGGCAGCTTGGGGCGGGTGCAGGACTGTGGGGCTGCAGAGTGGGGCAAGCGAAGGGGAAGAGC